CCCCAAAACCCCAAAACCCCAAAACCCCATGTGGAAAGATTATTTAGGATATTGTGATTAAATTAAGATAAAAATCGAATGAAAATGATATTTAGTATGATCAAAAGGGGTCAGATGTCATTCATAGTCAGTCTGTACCCTCAACTAATTTCTTGATCCATAATTGTCTTGCATTATCTCTTAAGATATTTTTGAAGGCCTCACCTCCTGAGCTAGCGTATAATTTGCTAAAATCTCTTGCTGTTTATTTTTCCATTTCTACCATTGCTTTAGGTGATTAGAAGCCACTTTATTGCTTGAATCCCGAAGTCACTTTATTTGAATCATAATAGTCCGGGGAAAATTCTCTTCTATAAATACTCCCATGATAATCTCGTTTATTGTACTTATCAAGGCTTAATACTTTTAATGTAGTCTTTTACAGCACTGCCTCTTTATTAGCATTGTAAAATATTGAAGCATTTTTCTGAGATATATCAAGTAAATGATCACCTCCTTTGAGAATTAGAGTAGGATTTCTATTATTTTATCTGTCCAGGCTAAGTAATGGAACATTCTTTTTGGTTGTCTATGGATTGTAGATGACTGAATCAACTGGATCAAATCTTTTCTCATGAGGAGGGTCTCTAGAAGAGACAAAATCTCTCCGCTTTATAATACTTTAGAATTCTCTAGTCAAAACTTTAGGAAGTACCTGATCAGGTAATTTGGTATCATCTTTTATGACTGATAGCTCGGGATATTTGTTGACTAAATAATACGAAGTTTTATCTTTTTTGTCTGTATTTAAGGTAGTATTCTGTGAAATAGGAGTATGGTTCATCATAAATCTATGCTACTATGATTTTTTAATTGGAGAGGTATTTATAATCTCTTATTTAGACATGTAGCTCATATTATTCTAGGAATCTACATGAGCGCTCTTCCCAGTTGATTCTATTGCGCCTGGGGATACCTCTGACAAATCAGCATTCGTTAGTTTTCTTTCTTTTTTTGCTGTTTAGAACACATTTTAGATATTATTAGTTAAATTTATATCCAGATCGTTAATGTGGCCTAGTGTACTAGGAGGTAAAATTTAATTCAAAGATATTTCCCCAATCTTTGTGTTGCGCATTGGTGTGTTAGATTTCACTACATTTGAACCTAGAACTTTCATTATCTTATCACATACACTATGACAAGATTGGTTATATTTCCTTCTTTTGATAACTTCTGCTTTGATAGCTTCTTTTGAAACAGGATGCTTTTTATCACCTACATAAATAGGGCCAATGATTCTTTTTTCAACGTATTCAAATCTTGGCTTGTATATATTTCCCAGTTTAGGCTACTCTGTTTTGAGTCCATGGACCTTATAGTATTATTCTCTAGTCATTGAGGAAAATGAAGCATTAGTAGTTGTTTTATTTCCTTTTGCTCTGAGTTTAGCCATCTCATCATCTCCATCTTTTTGATTGGGACCACCTGTAGAATTTGAGTTCTGGAAACTTTCCCCTTCCTCCATCATTTTTTATTGTCTCTCTTAAGCCTAAACTAATTGCTTTCTTTGTATCTCTAAATCTTTAAGCCTTTTTTATGTTGCAGACTAAAATAATAATACGGCCAATTTACTTACTTATTCTTTAAATTTTAATTGTTCCAGTTTAGCGCTGGAATCAGTTTCTACTTGATCAAATATACCAAGAGTTGAATGCACATTGTCGTTATTCTTGGGAGAGGTAAAGACTAAGTAGTTGAAGTTAGATTTTTTTGCAGATCGTGAAAATACTGGAACTCCGATGTGTGAGTTACCATCGATAGCATCGATTGTGAATATTAATGCCATTTTATTTTTTTAACTTCCAATCTAATCAATCTTTACTGATTTATTGATTTACCTTTTTATTTTATTTCAAAAAGTTTGAATGCCTTTGAATCTTGGGGTTTTGGGGTTTTGGGGTTTTGGGG